ATTTTGCTATAAGTTTGATTGCATCATATAATAATTGCTGTTAATATTGTTCATCGTCTGTTTTATTATGTCTTAAATTGATTTTTCCGTACATTTCTGCCATATGTACATTAACTGACAGTCACCACTGATAAGCTACTACTAAATATTGTAGAAACCTAATTTGCTGTAAAGTTGCTTTGCAACGATTTGTATCGTGAAAAGCGCTATACAAATAAACTTGAATTGAATTGAATTTACTAATTGTTTAAGGCATACAGTAACCAGCAACAATCACCCCTTCCTCTTCTCATTGAAGACATGCGATGCAGTCCTAAACAGTCTCTCGCTGTCTGGTGCTTGTAATGATTTTTGCGTCTTTCTCCGACAATTTAAATGCTTCCACACTGCTGACATGTGTGCTGCATAATAAAGAGTGCATGCCTCTCACTCTGCGCTGGTTGCTATTTGATCGCGTCATATCATTGTTTGGTACAATTTATTCGGTCTTTTCGCTTATTCGGCCGAACACCGAAAGTCTTTTTTGCTTTTTTTTTTTTTTTTCGGTTGCCGAACATTCGGTACATCCCTAGTTTTGGAGTACCTTTTCAGTCGAGGAAGTTGGAAGATTTCCTGCCAAACTGAGAAGAGTCCCTTGTTTTGGTCTTTCAATCCCACTGAGATTGAATTGACACTGCGCTGATCCAAGTGCTTCTGTCCACGACTGTGTAAAAACTGCACACACAAGCATAAGCAAACCCATATTTTAACCCATAAGCAAACCCATATTTGAATTCTGACATGTTTTAAAGCACACATCTCTCTCACCTGTAATGTGTTGATGCAAGCACGGATGTCATTGTCAGTTTTCTCACACAAGGCCATCAGAGTGCCAGTATCTGCTTTCATACCGTGACGTCTTGTGATCTACAAACACAAACAAAAGCATGCATGGGTTCACATTCATGAGCTTACAAAATCATCTTGTAGGCATGTGAGTGTATGTGCGTATCACCTCTGCTAGTCTTTGAGCTAAGCGGGAGGGCAGAGTCTGGGGAAAAGTCAATAGGAAAGCTTGCTGTCTCAGCGGCCTCAGAGCTGGAACATACCTGACAAAATTACAAGTCAATTTGTTTTCCTTTATCAAAGTAAAACTTTTTTGTATTGATTTTCCAGTCATAATATCCATTGTGACGGTGATGCACAACAAAAATCAAATGTTCAGAAATTTTGTGGGATATTATTCGTGTTTTGTGAATGTTAAACAGTTTGCTGGAAAAAATTCTAATATTTTAAATCCTACCAAAATGTTTATTTATGCAACTTAAACACGGGACTTACAGGTCATTGCAGATGCAGATGATTGGTCTAAGCAGCACGGACTGCTTCTTCTTTCTCTTTTTCAAGGCATTACCACCTGACTCCTCTCCTTCTCTGCTATCTTTCCGGTTCAATGTCGCTAATAATATATTAATGGCAGCCTGAGCCGAAAAGAAAAAAAATGAGAAGCAACTACAATTAGACAAGCCATTGAATTGAAAGTAAACGATAAAACTGAAAGCAGGTCTTACAGCAGGAGCTCCATCAATTTCATCTATAATAAGGCAGTTGGGCTTTTCATTGGCTCCCAGGACTGACTTCATCTGTGTTGCAGTATCAATACGTTTCTGGAAGAGCTCTGCACTGCGGTCATCACTGAGAAGAGATTAGCGCTATCAGCTTGTGAGTGTCAACATTTATAAATGGATGCGTCTGACTGGTCACCATCAGGGCTTGCATCATCTTACCTAGCGTTGATTTCTACAACATTGTAGCCAGCGTGCTTTGCGATAATGTGTGCTAGCGTGGTTTTCCCCAGTCCAGGAGGACCTGATAACAGTGCCACCTGTGTAGTTTGATACACACAGTTAAACAACTTACATTCAACATGATAAAAATAAGATTAGCTTTACATTCACTATTCATATTTTACAATGAATATCACCTATTCACTGTCAAATATCAAACCAACATTTGGCAAATTAAATTTGTAAATTATTCGTCAATTAATTTGGTAAATTTAGCAACCTAAACTGCCAAAATATAAAATACTGATCTAAATAAGAATAGTTGTTAAGTATTTATTGGTGTATAAATATATAAAATGTGTGTGTGTGTGTATATATATATATGTGTGTGTGTGTGTGTGTGTGTGTGTGTATATATATATATGTGTGTGTGTGTGTGTGTGTGTGTGTGTATATATATATATGTGTGTGTGTGTGTGTGTGTGTGTGTGTATATATATATATGTGTGTGTGTGTGTGTGTGTGTGTGTGTATATATATATACAGTGGGTACGGAAAGTATTCAGACCCCCTTAAATTTTTCACTCTTTGTTATATTGCAGCCATTTGCTAAAATCATTTAAGTAAATTTTTTTCCTCATTAATGTACACACAGCACCCCATATTGACAGAAAAACACAAAATTGTTGACATTTTTGCAGATTTATTAAAGAAAAACTGAAATATCACATGGTCCTAAGTATTCAGACCCTTTGCTGTGACACTCATATATTTAACTCAGGTGCTATCCATTTCTTCTGATCATCCTTGAGATGGTTCTACACCTTCATTTGAGTCCAGCTGTGTTTGATTATACTGATTGGACTTGATTAGGAAAGCCACACACCTGTCTATATAAGACCTTACAGCTCACAGTGCATGTCAGAGCAAATGAGAATCATGAGGTCAAAGGAACTGCCTGAAGAGCTCAGAGACAGAATTGTGGCAAGGCACAGATCTGGCCAAGGTTACAAAAAAAAATTCTGCTGCACTTAAGGTTCCCAAGAGCACAGTGGCCTCCATTCCTTAAATGGAAGACGTTTGGGACGACCAGAACCCTTCCTAGAGCTGGCCGTCCGGCCAAACTGAGCTATCGGGGGAGAAGAGCCTTGGTGAGAGAGGTAAAGAAGAACCCAAAGATCACTGTGGCTGAACTCCAGAGATGCAGTCGGGAGATGGGAGAAAGTTGTAGAAAGTCAACCATCACTGCAGCCCTCCACCAGTCGGGCCTTTATGGCAGAGTG